TTGTAAGTTCGTATTATCTGAGTAAATGAGGAAGACATACGTTAATGTGTTTTATAATTTTAAGTGTAGCAAAATATGGAAGAGAGTTCATCAAAAAAGTCTTAAGCGTTGATAATATGTCATAACCCAGAAACGACAACAATGGGAAAAAACTCACAGAAAGCGATAGAGAAGAAATCCATGAATGAATGCTAATAGAAGCATACTAAGACAGAGGGATTTTGTAAACTGTAGATTAATACAGTTCGTAATTTCTTCTTCTTCTTCTAGGTGCCTTGTCCGCTTTGAGTGTTGGCAAACATTGCGATTTAGACTTTATCTACAGCATCTCGAAAAAGTAATCTTGTACTTTTATTGAATCATTTACGTAAATTCTTCAGACATGATATCTTTCGTCTTCCAGGAACACGTCTGCCTTCAATTCTGCCTTCAATGATTAATTTCAGTCGGCCATATTTTTCCGGATGCCTCAGAATATGACCAAAAAACTCCAACTTTCGGCTTTTTACTGTCTCTAATATTTCTGTCTCTTTGTTGACACGCCGAAGTCATGTATTTGTAATTCATTCTGTCCAGCTTACAGTTGGTAACGCGTAAGTATTTTACTCCTTCGTTTGAGTGCGCCTCATTTGTTAGACACTGAAAGGACCTGGCAATCTACATTATCTTTATCTTTATTTTGTCAAGATTTTTGCAGCGGATTCAATGAAACGTCGTAAAAACCATAAAATATATATATACTTGATCAACTTTATGAGTTAAGTTTATATAGCCCTATCCCTCTGTTCGTTTGCCTCCTTTAATTCAAACTACTCTATCATTTTTTGAGTTATGCGAAGAAAACTCCGCACACATACTTTTTGGTAACAAAACTTGATCAATTATAAGATAAATTGAAATCAGATCAATACATACTAATCGTCCTAGTTGTTATATAAACTGAATAAACGAATATAAATTTTCTCCATTTATAACAAGGATTTTTAAATCAGCGTAAAAATCTCTTTACCAACTCTTATTAGTATTGTGTTATATTATAAATATGGAAGATCTTCCCACCGTCGTTCGAATACTTCCAAATGGAGTTAAAAACCGATTTGTTGGGATAACCAACTATTTTGCAAAATGGCTTAGACGTTTTAACTTTGATATACTAGCTGATGATTTCAATGGAATATTCTGTTTGTATATTAGAGTCTTTAACAAAATAAGAAATTTGAATTCTCAGTTTTCTCCTTGGTCATATATTTTTGACACATCATTAGTCATTTTTTTATTTCTAGTTATTTCTCAGTAACAACATAAAACCTAAAGGTATTTATTTTTCATTAACTTAACTGTAAAAATTTCTTAAACCCCAGTTTTTCTCAATAGTAATGGTCTCACTCAACTGCAAAGTTCTCATAATTAATTTTTAGAAACTTTTGGCCTAAATGGTTTACTTAAGCAATTTTCTGAATTTAATTATTCAAATTACACTTGTTTTTCCCAAGATTACAATTTGAGCTCATTGTCGTGAGCACCCCTTACCTATGGACATTTCGCTGATTGTGTATTGTTTTCTTTTAAAAGTTAACAATTAGCAACAATTTTATTCTCAATTATTTTTCAGTGAACCAAACCACAGAATATAAAAATTTTATGAAAACTTTTAACTTTTCTCAGTTAAGAAAATTTCACATATTTTTTTTTTTGGTGCCATAACTTTCTAAGTTTGCGTAGCCATTATTGTTTTGCTTGAACATGACTGAAGTTAATGGATTTTGGAAAACAAAACTTTTGTAAACCACACAATCTCAGTAATTTTCTAAATGATTTTGCATCTTGTATTTTGCACAACAATTTGTATCTTATTTGGTATGCATTAATAAACAAATAAACCCGAAATGAGCTTACAAAACTCTTAACACTAAGAAACTGAAAGATTGCTTTCGCTTTCTAAACTCAAAATAAATTGGAAAGCAGTCTAATTGCCGCAATTGACCACAAACACTTGTACTGCCAACAACTTACTGCCATGGGCGTAGTCAGGGGAGTGGTACATATGACATAAGTCCCATCTTAAAAGTGTAGTCATGATATATTATTGTAAGAGTTAAGAGATTGTGAGCTGAAAATTGTTTTCTCTCTTTTTATGGTCTTGTTTGATAGCCCCCGGTATACTTTCCTAACTACGCCTATGCTTTATTCATTTAATAATTAATTTATGTAGGAGCAGTTGAAATTTGATAGTTGAAGTGTTAATGCAAATTTGTATTGAGTAAGTATTTCATTATTTACAAATGCGGCATTATATTTACAATTGGCCCGGCTTAAATGTTGTTAATTAAACTATTTACACAACAAACTCAAATAAAGGCTAATTAAAGATTATTTTAATCCACAAAGGAAATTTGCTAGTTGCTATGTTTTTGTATATTAAAAGCAATATAAATTATGTATTTATAAATACAATAATTACAATTTTCCTTTAGTTTATTAAATACATTAACATTTTCATTCTTAAATTTTACTTTGTAATTATTTCAAATTTTTTTCTTTCCATACTCACTCACCATACTCACTTAAGTGAATTTTAAATACATTATGATTGATTCCTTTTATGGAGAACGCTATAAATAATTCTATTTACTTAAGCTTGCTCGCGCTCATTGCTTTATAAATAACAATCCGTGCGCATAATTAGTTCCGAACAAAGTATCTTTAAAATTTATGCGATTTTATAGCTACTTTTTTTTAACATCCGCAGGCGAACTTTATTGGATTGTCTGTCCTGTCTATGCGATTGTCTGATTGTCTGTCTGGCTGACTGACTGTCTACTCTTTGGCATTGTCAGTCCCTATTGTACAATTTTATGTTTAAGTGCGCGCACAATTTCAACTTAATTAAGTAATTAAAAGAAATACAATCAATTCGTTTGATGTTCCTCGTTTTTATTGTCTGATTTTTGCTTTGAGACCTTATTAAAGATAGTCTATAAATATTGAATTTAAAGCTCCTTTTTTATTATATTGCTTAAGGTAAAATATAAAAAAGACTGCCTAGCTTTGAGATTTTTAAGATTTTTATATTCCTTAAATCAATACAAAAAAACAAACATTATATATAAATATATTAAATTAAAATTCTTAACACTATAATGTTATGTACATATTTGCGTTACCCTATAAGGAATTATAAAGATTTTATACAAAAAAACAGCACAAAAGGAATATATCTTATTTTGTTTTAATTTATGGGAAAAAAATTTAACTTGATGTCGAAGCTGTATGCCATTAAATTGAATGGAAATACTTTTATTAGCAAAAAAAAAAGACAAACATCGACAGGATAGGTAAAACCGGTTGATAGGTGTTACAATCTATTGAACATTAAGCATCCATGCCAAGAAGAAGAAAGGGAAAAAATAAAGAAAACTGAACACTTTCTATATAAATAACAAGACCTGGGAATGTCAACACTTTAAATACTAAGACTCTTATGTTTCACACCCTGAGTACTGAAATATTAAAATTAGGAATATTAGGAATTCTCCTGATAATACGAAATACGTATTAATATATACCAGAAGTAAAAAAATAAAACCGACTTTAAAATAATTTCGACGTAACAACTCAAAAATTAAAAACAATTTCACTGAAATTTGTTCCCAGCAAAGTGTTTTTTACAGTCTACTAGTTGGAATCCTCTCAAGCCATTCCTAAAAAGTAGTTTTAATGGGTTCCAGCCTCACAAAGTAACACTCGATGTATTCTACCTATTGCAAAAAAAAAGTAATCAAGATTTTTAATATGAAATCCACAAGTTTTGGTGGACATTTTGATATATACAAAAATATAACTTACAGAAATAATCATTATCAACCCTACATGTCGGTTTTAAAAATAAGTATATCATATCAGCGTGTATGGTAATAAAATTGTGCATAGGTACTTCTCAGACAGAACAGAAAGCTGGACAATCAGAAGAACCAACTAACTATGACATTAATTACTATTAATATTACTATTATGAAATCTCTTCCATAATGTTACTGATAAAGTGACCATTTATGGAGCCAAAAGTATATCTTATATCTGGTGTTAATTATTGTTTTTAAAACGATTAACGAGAAAAGTTTACAGAAATTAATTCCTATTTTTCTTGGAGCTCCTTGGAGCTCTTTGTTCTTTAGGAAACTTCATCACTTTTCTGCTATGAAATAATATGATCTTCAGCTCCTATGTTTCTTTTCAATTGCTTTTTGTCAATTATGATGAGTTTGACTAATATGTAAATGCCGATTTAATCTATACCCCGAGTTCATGATTAAATTTTGTCATGTAAATAGAGTACAAAAGATATTGTTTCTTTACATGAACTTCAGCAATAATCATCTTTCATATTTCAAAGGAAATATGGAATATCCTAATGTAGAAGTGCTGCTTAGTTAAATTTGGAAAAAAGGCAGAAAAATTTTAATTTGTACTTGCGATATACGAAGAGATCTATCCTGACAGAAAGTCTACTTTGAATAAGAGATGAACAGAGAGAGAGAGAGAGAAAAGTTTATAAAATATAAACAAAAGCCTTTGTTATTACGTTTCATAGGAAAGATCTAAATACCTCTTTCATAAAAAACATAGAAGATAGTTGGCAAAACCCTAACATAAGCAATGAATAGTACATTTACTAATGGTTATTACAGTTAAAGTTA